TTTTACATGAATATACTGTAATTAGCTTGCAGTCAATACAGTAGCTGAAAATGTCTGGTAGCAAGAGTTTTCATTTCAGCTGATAATATTTAGCAGTAAAACTGATATGGCTACTTTTGTTTATCACTGTCTCAAATCTATTGCTTCAAAACTTAATAGTTTTTTGTCAACACATTAAGGTTTACAGTGGTAACAGACATTAGCATGGTGCTGAGGTTTCCCTGTTATTGGTGTCATGAGTCTGTGATAGACATTAAATTTTTCACTGCATGGTTTTAAAAAAGGTTCACTGTAAAATTTCATTAGATAACAATCATTTTAAACAGTTTCTAAAGAGATCTACATTTATCCCACTGTACTGACTTTGCACATCACAATGCCTTTGTGTTGTATTCTTTGAAAAAGCTGTAGAGTTCCATCAGTGTTACAGCAACAATATGTGCACATGCATATACCCATGGACACACACCACCCACCACACTACAAGCTGTGAGCACCTCCACCACCACCACTTCCAACTGTGAGAGTATTTCACAGCCCTGACGAGGGCTATAATGTACAATATGCTCACTAATTCAGCCATTCTTTCCCTGTTTCTGTCTCTTTTCACCCCTTAATTTCTCTCATTCTGCGCATTTGTCACAGTGGCATCTGGTGATGTCCTTTTAGCTACTGGGGGCTCAATCTGTCCAAAAGGCCCACTTTTCTGCCATGCTGTTGCCATCTCCCAGTGATCCATTTATGCTTTACAGTTGACATGAAGGCCACTCAGAGACTAAGCTCTTAATTACCTCGAGAGTAAAGAGCATTAACGGTTTGGAAGCATGTGGATATGGTTAGCATCTGTTGAACAGTGTGGATTTAGTGGCTATCTGGTGAGAGGTTTGGCTGAAGAGACAGACAATGAATACGAGTGAAGTGAATAGAAGGACTGCTCATTTTATTGTGGGAGACTCTTGAAGGACCACTAGGACATGCAGAGGGTGGGTCATGTGATCAGCAAGGGCAGCCAAAGAACTCTGAACTTAATAATGATGATCTAATAATGTAACAAATAGAAGCTGATGCTGATCTATAAGCTAATGCTCTAACCCAACACTAGCATTAGCTAGAGTACAAGTGAGAATAGTTTGCAACTGCTAGTTATAATGCCAGCTTTGCTGCCTTTGTCTGGTCACATGACCTAACCTCTAGCACATCATGGTCCTTAGATAATGTCCTTTTTACATTCAATAAATCACTGTGTGAGACATTGGTATTGGACATTTGGTAGTAAATCTTCGGCATTGTTTCATGGCACAAAAATTTAGTTTGCAGCAGAAAACAGTAACAGTGGACTGTTCTTGTGGCCACAAAAGGACTCATGTTTTGTAAATGGAGGAGAAAATGAAAAACTGGTGTAAAAATAATAAATGTTCAACATGTCCATCTTCTACAGTAAAGTCAAAGAGAAAACAATCAGAAGCAACTGAGCTGGGACACATGTCAGCATCCTGTTTGTATAGAAAGCGTTATAAAAATATAAGACTCCTTATTATACCAATGGTCACAATTCATTTGACAGTGGTTATATACTGTATATGTTAAAATAAAAGCCAAAAACACTCCAATAAAAAAAGCTTTAATTTGCACTACAGATTGTAATTTTCTAATGTGGCAGTTACTATACATGACATGGTCAGATCATGTTTATGGAAACTTGGCAGCAGTAGTGAACAAGTGCAGAGTTAAAGAGGACACAGTTGCTCCTAGTGTACTCTAATCACAATGATATTTCTGTCTACTCTGTATTTACATTACAACATTTACTGCATGTTTGCCCATCCTGGTAGAGGAGTCCCTCCTCTGTCATTCTTCTTGATATCTCTTCCTTTTTATTTTCAAATGTTTCTTGATAAAGGGTACATTAACACAAGGCTAGAAATCAATATGTCACCGCTTTCTCTGGTTGAACACGTCAAGGCAGTTTTACCTCAGACCACAGATAGCACCACTGACTAGATCTACTGCAGGTTTTAAGGATACCTGTGTCATCTGTTGTATAGATTGTCCTTTGAGGCAAATTTGTAATTTTGGCATACACACATAAAACTGATTTAACTAGATATTTGGATACAGGGTACAGTCAAGTGAATTACAGCATACTGTGAAATTACTTATAGCAGAAACATATTCATGCATTTATGAATATTATTAAGAGTAAATGAAAACTGTCTCTAAAGTCATTGCATTTTTATGATCATTGCAGTTTTTATAGTAGAAACATTGCATTATTAAGTACATGTATCAATATTCGGTTATTGGCAAGCACTCATACTTGTACTCAGTGTGAAAACGGTGTTATAGATGCACCCCTAATTTTCAGTATTTTATGATAATACAAAACATTCTACTACTTCTTCTAATAATAATAATAATAATAATCAGTATCATCATCTTCTTCTTCATTATCAGTATCATCATAATAATAATAATAATAGTTCTAAGTGCTTGTCATGACTAAAATCTTCATCACTATAATGATGTGTAGGTAATGTTTGTTTGAATAATTTCTGTAAGTACTCACAGCTAAACAGGTAAGTTGACCTTCGACCAATCTCTCAAAACTTACTGTGAACCTGAACAGATTAGAGAAGCAGAATATTATACAGCAAAATGAAACCTGTGAAGTCAGCCTCCACTGACTGTGTCTAGTAGAAATTAATGGAGCGATTGTGTTTTGCAGGACTTTGCCGATTCAATATTCCACTTGGTGAGAGAGAAGTACCGGTCGCTGGTGGGCGTCTGCAGTCCTGTGCACGCTAAACAGAAATCCCTGGCAGGCATCGTAATGACCCAAGGTATGGCAAATTTCATTGGCTTTTATATAACACTGTGAATTATTGAAGTGGTGCAATATCGAGTGAGTGAGTGTGTGTGGGG